CATACTTATATGGCATTTTATTTTTGTCTTGGCCCAAGGAACAAGTTTACAAATATGTCCAGACAATTTGAAAACACCCTGTAAAAACAAATTAAAGCTTGAAGAGACCACAAATCTAAAAAAAAGACAATATAAAATTGGTTACGTACCTTTACGTCGTCAATCCTAGGTTAGTCTTTTTAGCGAATATTTGTGTACTTTGACGACGACATTATGTTCAAGTAATTTTATGTTTGACAAGGCTTGAAAATGAAACGTCAGTTTCGAAACTAGTCGCTAAAAAGACTAACCTAGGATTGACGACGTAAAGGTACGTAACCAATTTTATATTGTCTTAAATCAATCCTGGAGGCAATGCTGAATAAACTAAAAAAAGGAGCGATGTTGTAAGAATAGAAGATGTAATGTATTACTTTTTCCCCTCTTACTTCTGCAGGTGTAGCTACTGACACTTTAAAGTGTACACAGAGAGTTATAAATCTTCTTGAATAGTAGATTCCAACAAAATACTCAGCTCCTGTGTGTTTTGCTTGGAACTATTGTGAACTCCGAGCGGTCTTTGAAGTAAATAAACCCGAATGTCTTTCTTTTTGTCTGGCGTTCTATTCTCCCTGCACTTCTCGGGTATGCTTTCTTTAAGACTTCAGTTCATGTTCATATTTTTAAATAGCTTTTTCAAAACTTTAAGTTTAAGAGTGTTTATTGAGTACAAAACCATTAAAAACTACTGGTAGTTTCGGTGAGTAAAGTTATTACGGTTTCAGAACCAATTCAAAGATTTCAAAAATCTTCATGTCTACCTGATTTATGGAACACAACAAATGTTTTTTTTATATATATATATATATAATCATTGTATTTTTAGTGAAGCAAGATCCTAATAAAGATAAAATCTTCGTTGTACGAGAGCTTCCCTTTTTTCTAGAGACTTGGATTTGCAAATAAGTAGTATACAACCCACATGTTGACCGCCTTTTCACATAACTAAAAGTCATGGGTGATTGTCGGTATTTCAACCCGAAACCTCTGGACAGAAGATCGTGTCTTACCCGTCGAGCCTTGCTGTTATTCTGATATTGAAAATTAAAAAAAGCTTGAAATTTTAATAGAGATGGCGAAGAAGCAGCTGTAATTATTTGCCGCCAAGCACCAATACCCGAGAGACTTTTGATTTAAAGGGGCATTGACTTACCCCTCCTCCCCTAACGGATTTCTGTTGTGGAAACACAAATTTTCAATTACTTTAGAAAGACATTTTATCAGCAGTTTATTGCTCTGCTTGCTCAATGAGTAGTAACTGAATTTATCTGCCTCAGATAACTTTCATACTGATGGAAATGTTGTATTATTTATAAATAATCTTAATACAATTTAGAATAATGAGAATTCTAAGACAAATCATTAAAATTTTCACACATCAGCCTACTGAGGCTTACTTTACAGAGCATGTTATAATCCATTCACGCTACAAATAGGTACAGGTATTACATTATAAAAATGGTTCAGTTACATGTTTTATGCTGTACAAGAACATACTATAGTAGTCATACTTTTCTGATGATCGTCAATTTAAAAAATTAAAAAAAATCAAATAGAATGGGGTGGTAAAAAAAAACGCAAACTCTAAGAGCTATTAGAAGCATAAGACAACTGAAAGACAACATTAAACGGGTGTTAAGAGGCATTTCCGCCCAGCAGTGCTCTGAGATGGCCATAAGATCATGGACTGAATGGATTATTTTGTTACTAACGAAGGATGACATGTAGAAAATGTTTTTGTTTAGTTAAGTAATTGTAAGCTTTGTTTTAGTTAACTATTAATCTGTTTTGGGTTTCCTTTTTTTGCACAGCCTGTACATAGGCAAACTCAAACGACAAGAAAATACACGTCACGTTAACATAAAGAAAACCCGTCAGTACAAAGTTACACAGATCATCATGGTTCATTCTATACTCATATTTGGGTTAAAATACGCACCTAGGTGGCGTCCCCATGTCAAATGGTAATACTCATGGTGCTTGTGTAATTTTCTGTTTTTTATATTGAAATCTTTGATGGTGTTTGACATTTCTCCTAGAGCTGGATACTGTATTCAATTTCATGTACGTCAGGGGTAACCCAAGGCAGTATTCTTGTCCTATTTAATATATTCAAAGAGATATAACGAATAATCAATTTAAAAAATATCATACAAAACACTATTAACTAGAAGGCCAACAAAAATCAATCTCATAAGTAGAACAAAGTTCACCCCGTAACATAAGGAAATAAGATAAATTAACAAATACAAAACCAACATACAAAACACTACGTATTGCAATACAAAACAAGATAATTCCAGAAGTGCAATACAGTGGCGTGGCAGGGATGTTAGGAAAGTGAGGAAATGTGACAGTTTGTTAAGAGTGCCAGTGTTGGCCTGGTGCCACATGTTCTAGCGACTGTTGCTTGAGAACTTCCCATGAATATGAATAAGCGAGCATTACTCTCACGAGAATTGGATAATCTGTAGATCAAATTCAATCTCGTTCTCGTGACTGAAATGTAAGTGATGTGATACTTTTAAACATTGTTCAATTCTGGGTCTTTCATTGCTTTATTCCCGTTTTTTCAGAAGGTTTTCTTATTTTTTGAACACAACAATCAAAGCAGTTTTCAAGATTTAGTGGATGAGAAAAAAGTAGTTAAATACCTATTTTTTTGCAACTCACAAAGAATTACCCATTCCATTAATTTCCATCAAAGCATTTTAAAGTTTTGGTGGGTCTCCTCCACACTCAGTCACACTCTTCGTGACCAGTTTGAAGTGAATATAAAGTAATTGTTATTCCGTGTTCACTGATCATGTTCATCTGTGTTCATCTTTCAATCACCCCCAACCCCTCAATGCTTGCTGTGTCTTAAAACGCCTCAAGCGCAGTGCTATTGATCAGACTTCCGCTTGAGAATCTTAGTGTATGTTTTATAAAACAATTACTAAAATATCAATTAATTATGATTGGATTTTGTAATGTTTTATCTTTTTGAGTACTATATTAGGTAGTCAGTTCGTTTAATAAAAAAAAAATAAATAAAAAAAAATAACAACGATCAAGATTGTCAATGAAAAACATGACAAAATACATTAATGGTCTCCTAAGCTAGATTGCCTAAACAAATTAGATAATGGGGTGTAGTGCAAAACAACTCACCAAGTCAGTAAAAGCTTATTTCAATTAATCCCAAAACAATTTCTTTCAAAAATATAAAAAATAAAAATAAAATTTGTCTAATAAAAAAAGGTCATAAAGACATATCAATTCTTGTATTAATTTTACTTATACATTATTTCGAATGATTTGATAATGAGAAAATACATTAAATGGGCTTAATTTGCAATCTGTTCTAGTATTCTATTCTTGACATCTGAACAAAGTTAGAGTCACCTGTCAAAGTTCATTAGGTTAAGCCAAAAAATGTAGGGGAAGCTTAATGATTACCTTATAATTTATAATGAATTATATTTATAATACATCTTAGTTTAAAAGTTATAAACTAAAATTGTTTAGTAGTATAATTCAATCACAATCACTTATCTTACATTTCAATAATGTTTAAGAAATTTTCTATTCATATTATTAGCTTTTTCTATAATTCTACTAAAAGAATCTTTTTAAAGTAAAGAATATATAAAGATAAAAAGAAACCCAATGATAACTCTCTTTTGGACGAATGACTCTGTTTAAATAGTTGTTTTATCTTATTGAAACTCCCTCTCTTCTCTTCATAGCATTACGGTTGAATGGCGTTATTCAAATTGTTGATTTATCTCATTTAAAAGTTCTTATTCATCATTTTATAGCCTACATTCTCAAAGTAAGCTCATTATTTAAGGTTCTCAAATACAGTAAATGAGTAAATTCTTAAAATAGCTACTGGTACCATGATGTTTTATCTGTATAATATAGTATGTCTAATCATTTACACTCCAATCTTAATGTGTATGTTACTATTATACTCAGTGGCGGTCCCAGGATTTCATTTCGGGGGGATGACCACCGGGGGGGGGGAGGGGTCTGGGGGTACGGAATATCCCACAAAAAAGCGGGGTCCGGGAGCCCCCCTTGGAAAAATGTGGAATTTAAAGCCTAAAAACGTATTTTTATAAGTATTTGGGATCTAAAATATGCTCAAGCTAATAGTATTTATGTTAGCTAATAAAATATAAAACATTTTGAGGGGGGGGGATATGTCCCTCCCATCCCCCCTGGCACCGCCACTGATTTAACTGGACTTATACAAATATTTTTATTTAATATTGTAAATTACTTATGTATGAAAAAATAACCAATAAAAATATTAGACAATCCACCAGGAGGACTTTTTTGTACTATTTTACTTCATTTACATTCTTTTGAGCTCCAAACCCTGGTTTTCGTACTATATTCTTGTTACTTAGTAGCACCATTTATTTTACTGCCCAACCGGAATCTGAGTCCAGAATTTACCCAACAAGAGATGGAACCAACAAGTCAGATTAGAAGACCTTTGTAACCAGTTGGCTACCTAGACACACACATGTGATTCATAGTCTAATATTCTGCGACACAAGTTTGCATATAACAGCAACATTGCTTAACTTTCACAAATCTAAAACTGACACCACTTACTCAGTGCAAATGTGATATAGCAGTGCATGAGTCGGGTATAAAATGGGTCAAGTAGGGTATAATGTAGGGATGATGAGGGAAAAATCCCAAAACACTGCGAGTCACACTACGAGGCACTAGTGGTATTAGGTTAATCCAAAGGCAAATTATTTTGAATATGAATGTAGGGCCTACAAAATAACAAAAGCTATGGTGGTGAAGAACAATGTCTTGTGAGCGTGCTTATCCCGCTCGCCACTCCTAATTTACTTGATTTTTGCCAAGAAACTAATCTGCACAACTGACATCACTGATTGTTATGATTTTCAGCGAGTTTGTCATTGGTTATCTGACGATTGTGTTTGTTCCAGGACGAAGCCCCACCTGCCCTCCCCACCTCTCCTCCGCCAGACACAGACCTTCTGAGTGATGACGTCATGGTGAGTAGAAAAAATATGGTTTTTATTTGCAAAAATTCTATATTAAATATTCGAGTGGTCTTGAAATAAAATCAAAGTGTTTATTGGGCCAATAATAAAGGTTTTGTATTAGCCAATTCAATCCATAAAAAACTTTTCCCTAACCTTTAAAGCAGAGGTTAATATTACGAATATTTAAACATATCACCTTTTTAACTCATAAATGCTGTAACAAGTTAATTTTGTTTTCTAATTTAAGAGATTGTAGAAGGAATTTGAAAATTGTTATGACAATGTACAGAGAATGATTAAAAAAAATTGTATTGTTACTTAGAAATCAATAAATTAAATTATTTGCACTTTGTGAATTTTATAATGTTTATGGAGACAACTATACAAGAATGAAGAGGGCCTTTGATCTCTAGTCTAGACCAGACAGTCTAGAGCAGTCTTAGTAGTCCTGCCTACTAAACCTTACTTCACAATCTAATCATAAATAAATATTCAATTGATTTAGGTCTATTTAATTTTACATGTTATAGAGTTGCTTAACTCGCTACTTTGAATTAAGTTTAATCATTTATGAAATGATCTCCTATGAAAACCAAGTATTTGTAATTGCTGTTAGATATTATATCTGTAACTTTTTATAATATTAAGATTATTAAAATAATATTTCAATTTTTTTTTTTTTTTTTTTTTTTTAACTTTGATTATACTGGTGATTCTCTATAGTTTGAAAACTTGTGATATATGATCCAAGATAAGCTATGCTAGACAAATAGCAATCTCATAACTTAGATGAAGGATTCTGCGATCTAGTTATTATAGTATCTTAGGCATAATTTCATCCAATAAGTCACATACTCAATGACAAAAGTTTTGATCTTGTGCTCACTTAATATCTTAAAAATATTTCTTACATTTATTGTGCTGATAAAATTTATATTATGTCATTCTTTTTAGGTTTAAATTTTGATTACCAATATAGCATTCTATCTTATCTTCTATGTACTAGTTTTAGCCAGTTTTTCACTCAAGTAGTTGAATAGGGTGAATAAAACAGCTCATATATTTTGCTTCGTTAGAAGTTGGCATATACCACATCAAACTGTATTCTACAACACCTTAGCTCAATACAAGTTGCTTTTTATTGTATTAAATGTTTTTATTAAGATTTAATTTCTACTTTTTATATGTAGTTGAATAAATAAAAACTAAAAGCATTCTGTACAATGTTGAAAATAAATTTTTGACTTATGCATGTCTCAACTAAATAATACAAAAAATGTTATTTCCAGAAAAAGAATCTTTTGTGAATATCTAAAATATCATGGGTAAGTTTATGTTTCCCAAATGAAAATCCTGTACACACTTGGACAGTATTTGAACAATGTTTTATAGATTGGTAGTTGAGATAAAGTGAAAAAGTATATTACGCCCAATACAGTAGGACTATTACTATTTGATTTTTGACTAGGAAATGTATGGTTCTTATTTTTCATTAGAACATAAAATTGTTGCAGATGTAATGTAATTAATAAATGTGTTGACCTTCTTTCCCAACAAAATGCACTATCACCATGTTCGTATGTAGCACAATTTTGAACACTTCATCAACGTCATAAGTTGTTTCCAAATGCCTTTTGGCTCTATCCCTCTGTGTATTAAAAGGAAACGTTGTTGATATTAAAAACTGTTATACCTAGCTCTATCCGTCCTCAAGTGTAAGGTGTAAGTATGTAGTGTTGTTGTAATGTTATTTGGATTCCCTACCTTGCCATATTTTACACAGGTTGTAATTTAAGGCTTCCTTAGTTTAGCTTAACAAAAAACCATAACCGTTTATGATTGTTTTTTAAATTTAACTACACTTAACTGTCTTTTGCTTTTGCAAATAAGATAGTAAAAAAATATTTTCATAAAAAACTTGCCTCTGGATTGCAGGATTTATCAAATAATTGTTTATATTCCATTCTCTATTAAGCTACTTGTGTTTAGAAGTACATTTCTAGAGTTTCAGACATCCAGAGTAAAGTGCATACTTTTTCAGACAGGAAAAACGGATACTATTCCCCTTAACTTTGAAACCCTGCTATTCTTCAGGTGCCGCAATAACATGAACCATATCTTGGTTCTATGTTATCCAGTATTCGTAGGTAGATCTGATCAGATTTTATATTCATTCATGTCCCTGAAACCTGAAAATGGACTATGAAAGTCTGAAATACTAGATGTGTACTACTAAACACTGATCACTTGAAAGAGCAGGTAAACCAACGAAAAATATGAGATAATAAGACCCTATACTTTGTCTACAATTGTGGTATTTTTGTTCACTTCTTTTTGAAAAACCGTAGATTTTAAAACATTTTACTCTGCCCAGTGCCCACGCTTACCAGTTTACTCACTTAAATTGAACAAAACAGCAAGTAGGCTAATTTTATCCCAACAGAATTAACCACAGAAAAATTTACTTATACAATGTGAATAAAATTCTTGCACGTAAAAAAAAACCACAAAATCACATTTTAGTTTGAAAATAAAACTGTAGACAAGTTTTGTGGGAGGATTGGTTTTTTATCAAAAACCTTTCTCTTGTGCAAAAAGTGCTACTTTGCTCACTGTTAAATCTCGGTTACAGCTGGAGTCTCACACGCCAGACACTCTGTTATCAGTGGATGGTGTCGTTGACCTGGAAGCTGACAAATCAGTGCCTTTGCCCTCCGAGCTTGAGCAAGAGATCAAGATACACAAGGGTTCTGAACCCTTAGGTAATCAAGTTTGAATCTGTTCAGTGAATAAAAATCCTTTATCTCGATGGTAAGCTTCCTTGGTCAAAGTACACTAAATCTTTATGTTTGGAAGATTTATTGAATTGGCAAAGCTAGTGGCCGACTTGCAGCAATCCATTGTGGCAAACTTTAATTGAACTTAATTTAATTTTCAATCAAACTCAATTTAATTCAACTAAGTCTGTCTGTGTTACTGTCAGAAAGATCCAGTGTAGTGACATTAAACTTAAGCTTTTTCATGCAGCTGAAACTGCAGCATATCCTAATCGTGTAACATTTCTTGTATGCAAGGTAGTCAGCTGAAACTGCAGCATATCCTAATCTTGTAACATTTCTTGTGTGCAAGGTAGTCAGCTGAAACTGCAGCATATCCTAATCTTGTAACATTTCCTGTATGCAAGGTAGTCAACTGAAACTTCACGTTAAAATATGCATCCTAGGATGTCTGAATCACAAAAATCAAATGTAATATGATTCTGTCAGGACAAATATCTGATTAATTTAATTTGATCAAACATTTTCTAGTTGGCCTAAGTTAAGTTATTACATCAAAATAAACCAATAGTTGGTCATAAATGTTAAATTTTACATGTTTTGTCTTTTACTACATTCCAAATTATTTCCATTATTTAAATCTTTAGAAGTAGCTGTACTTTACTATGATAGATTTTTATTTGCTAGATATTCTGACCAGAAGAATCTGTGTTAAACTTAAATTTACTGTGATTTTGCAATATTACATACAATGATTTTGAATTGTGGTCGTGTAAATTGTACCACATTTATGTCCCTTTTATTACACACAAATTTGATAATGTTACATAAAATGCTGCATTATGGGAAAACAATATGGAATTGTAACAAATTAAGTATTACAGTGTTGTTGCTTATTCAACTCAACAATTCTGAATGTATATGTGTGTGTCTTTTTTAATAATGTTGTATTGCATTACAATAACTTGCATTGTTATAACTATTGCAACAAAGATAATTAGGTACCTTTGAGACAGGATTCCAATCAATACTCACTCACTTAGGTATTGAAGAGTAATTGAATGCATTAGTGCATTAATTAATTTATTGTTTGGATTAGCTATGGTTAGTGTAAAGTGATAATAATGAGAATATTTATACTCAAAATTGTATATACAAGGCAGTTAAACACTATCGTGAATTGTAGAGCGAGATATATCAAATGGAAAATGTCTGTTGAAGTTTTTACTTTATGTTGGACTTATAAAACATGTTTTCAACTATTGGGATATTGAGACGATGATAGTATGTTTCTAGGAGTTTGATTTGACATTTGATGAGTTTATTTCCTTTAAGGATGTTACTACCATACAGTCTGGTATTTTGGTGTTTGCCATCAAATTGGTATTTAAATTAGTACTACTTAAAATAAAAAATATAAATGGTACAAATACCAATTTTATATGACTCTTACCGTAAGACCAAGAATGTAGTGACGAGGTTGACCACTAAAGCATAAGAGGAAGACCTTCCTGACTAAGGAAGACTTTTAGAAATATAAAATACAATTTCTGGGGTTCAACATAGGTGACCAAAGGGCTTTGTTGTTTTACAGGACTCAGCCTAGACTGTGCCGAGGATGGTGATGGGATGGTGGTGTCGGAAGTGTTGCCAGGTGGCGCAGTGGACAAGGACGGTCGGATCCGGGTTGGTGATCTAGTACTGAGCATCAACAACGAGAGCTTACGACACGCTACTCCTGCGCAGTGTAGAGCGATACTGCGAAGGGCCCAGCTCATCACTACGGACATCAAGTAAGCCCTCCTCGCTAGAGTTCTGCTAATCCAAACTAAATGGGACTTCATCATTATAATAGTGCAGATCAGCCAAAAATTCCTTCAAATTAAAACATTGTTTTTTTTTTTGGCAATAATATCCATAACCTATCGTGCCCAAATTTTATCCATGATTGTCTTCTACAAGTGCGTTCTTCAACTGTGTGAAGACTCCAAAGGTAACCAAAAGCACATTGAGCCGTTAATGAATGAACACTCATCCAGAGGCTATTGATATTCATTTCAAATTTCTAGCTCATAAAAATTCACATACATTTCCCAATTCCTTGTCGGCTGGAAATTCTCGTTAGTATTTCAGAACTTTCAGTACTTTTTTAGTTTTTCCAAACAGGTGATTTGGATTAGTTATGGTATATGAATTCAAGAAATTACACATTTTTTAAATTGAATTACAAATTTCAAATTGAACAAAATAATGCATTTTTATTCCTAATAGATCAGCGAAACTTGTGCTCTGTAAATCAGGAATTAAACATACTCTTCTCATTCCCTATTTAGTTAAACTCCTCTCTCTGGTTGTGAAGGCTTGACCCTTGGCTGGTCACGTTCTTCACAATTCTTTTAAAGATCCTTTTGTTTTTCCACATCATTTTACCGTACCTCAGGTCATACCAATAGATCATCTGATTTATTATAGGCGACTTGTCATAAATCAGAAATTTACATGTGGTAGATTAATCAAACTACTTTCTTTTATTTTCCGAATATGGTTACAATTTTCACATGGAAAAGGATAGTCTTGTTTCATTTATAGTCAATCGTAAAACATTGTATTTAGACATTTTACGTAATTTTATTTATGAGTCCCAACAAAATAGCTCAGACTCCCTTTACACATTTGATCATCTTTCCATCACCACTGTACCCAAAGACACAAGACACTTCCAGATCACGAGGATCGTTCCCTCGTGAAGCCAAGCATCGATCCACACGACGTCACTTGTAATCCAATACATTGCATTTAATGAGATTCACTTTAGACAGACTATTCTTGTAACTTTAATGCAACACGTTACTGAAGTAGTAAAAATAAAACAATTAAGTCTACAGCATGTGCGAGTTAGTCAATAAGTACGGTAGATTTCAATTTGCTATATGCTTGAGAATGAGTATTTTTGTTTGTGTTGTAAGTTGTTGAGTACTCCTGCATGAAAACCCATTTGTGTTTTTACACTGTTTATTTTTCTGCAAAACCATTGGCATCATGTATTGTATTTTGTTAGCAACCATCGCTGCTTGTCACATTTTTAAAACTTGAAAAACTAAACTTTTCCAAATAAAGCACATTACAATAGCACATGTCAATAAGCTTCAAATCATGCCAATCACTATAGTGGATTTTATCCAAGTTATATAATTCAAGCTACAGGCTAAGTCTAGCCTAGCCTAAATCTATAAAATAGTTCTGGGCTAGAGCTCAGGATGCGGGACATAACAAATTAAAGCAAAACCACGTAGAATAACATTTATTATAACAGCTACATTATTATACTATATAATAAATCATACACTCTTGAATAGAAGCAGCTAAAACTGGCGTAAAGTGAGGACCCAGAGCTATATCACCTCTGAAGTAATCCTTTTATTAACGCTTCCATGGGCCCCCATGTGCTTGATAATTGTTTTAAAATTTCCTCTTAACCTTAAGCTACCTTTCCACATCAATAATTTGTAAAATTTTAATTTTACAAACGTTGTAAAAAAATTGAATTGTATTTTCTTAAATTATATTATTATGTTTATTTCATCACAAACCATTTCAGCAGTCAAACAACAAGAACAGAAATGTTTTTATTTAAATAAATGTATCGTTGTTTTCACACTTATCCCACAAGTTTTATATAAAAACAAATACACGTTATTTGCGTTTCAAATTTTAGAAATATGTACTATGCTTTGCCATCAGTTTTTCAATTTGTTATTAAAAAAAACTACTTCTTTTTCACTGTATAATCATTAAAATCTTTACATTCTACCAATTACATTTTACAAAGACTTTGAGATTTCATGGTATGGTATGAGTAAACTTTTAAAGTACCAAGATTTGGTGATCTTATGAACACCACTTACTTTTTTCACTTCTCTGTCATATTTTGGATTGGAATTTGTATGCATACTTTCTTATGTCATAAATCGGTGGTATTGGATAAATCATTAGAGGTGTTGGAGGTGTTTTTGCCTGTCCTGTACATCATTCCCAAATAATTCCTGACAAAAATTATCCCATATCTGTTTGAAGTTTTACCAGAAAACATGCCATTAACGACATTAACGTACATTAAACATACAAAACATACATTGTAAAATTTAAGAAGAAAAATTTTTTTTGATTTAGATGAAATATTAAATTAGCTTAAGACAACATTGCTTCTTCTAGATATCTACAGTTAAATGATGCTGAAGTAAGTGAGTCTACTCTTTTTGATTTTTTACACCTTGTAAATACGGCGGCAGGAATGGCACTTGCATTTGAAAGGAAGTGGCTGTTGCTTCTTTTCTAACCGAGTCAGTACCGGCGGCGTATTTCCTGCTTCCACTGTGGCCACCAACAAAATATCTGACTCAGATTAACCACGCGACAAAAAGCTATGAATCTGATTCTGAATCTGAATCGGCATGCACTCTATACGTACCGTTATTCAGCTTACAGTGATTTAAGGAGTCAGTATGCAGTTTTGACGTGGTATTCTTTAAATACTACTTGACTGTCCGTTCCAAATGCATTAAATTTTTTATTTAAATTGGTTAAAGATCCTTAAACACATAGGTGCTTAGACTCTGTCCACTCTGCTTAGTTAACTATTTTAATTAGTGAGCAGTTCTGTAGGAAAGTTACAAAACCCTGCCAAGAAACTTTGTAATGACAGTGTAACTGGCACTAATGAAGGTATAGTTGTCCAACTATTCCTTATTTAAGTACTTTTCTTAGAAAGTTACCCATGTTTTTTGTTTTTCCTATTTCTTGAATTCTGTTAAAATTGTGGGCCTTATTTCCTGACATAATGTTCAGATTTGTATCAAAGAAGAATTAATTAGCCTACATGTTGATGTTTTGGTATTTGACATTCATCTTTCAGAGTTATTATAAGTTTCGTCCCAACATTTTCATCCCCCAACATTACATTTTTTAACCTTGATTACAAGTTTAATCTCTTGCAACTCAAACTTCTCATAAGGGGCACTGTTGAAATAGTGGTCAGATTAGAGCACAATACATCTGTCCTGGGCTAGTGTATCAATCTTCCATATTCACCTTTTGGTTATCAGTTATCAGCTTTATTATAATGCTGTGCCTCTGCGGTTCAAAGTCCTCCTTAAGCGGTTAGAACTTTAAGGAATACGAGAGGTCGTCCAGTGGTCGAAACTCGACCAAAAATATGTAATGTACTCACTTATCTATTTTCACCCCACACTGTAAATAAAACATGTGATTGGAGTTTCCTCCATTTGTTTTGATTTTCTGTTTATATTTCGTTGTTATTTCGTAACCAGCATAGCAACGCATAAGATCCATGTTAATTTTTTCAAATTTTTAAACTCATTTTTTGTGCTTATCTTTGAGCCTATTTAAATTTATAAAGGGATTCTGCACACCTACAGGAAAATAGCTTTCCAACGGTATGCGTAGATTTTCCCTACGATTCACACGAGCTGAGAAAAAAGGTTTTAAAGAAACATGCTTGCCTATTAATATATAGATAGATAAATTCTCCAGTTTATAGATTAAAATCGTTGTTGAGCCTCAAGCAAGGACATTCTCCTTAATAGAGGATTTTCCCATCCAATTAATTAATTTGCATGTCATTACATAAGTTTCTACCCTGCATTAGTCATATCATATTCCTTTAATACAAGATTTATTCCCATAAAACACCCCTCTTATCATCATTACAAGTTTCATTAAAATTTTCAACTTCACTTTATTAGTTGTCATCTACATTGCATCCTTTAACTCCTTATTACACGTTACACCCGCTCATTACAAGTGTTACCTCTTCAGTGTATGTTTACTCCAATATTACATTTGTAAACTCCCCATTTCAAGGTGTCATTCATGCATTACAAGTTTTGTCACCACCTTACGAGTTTCATATAAGATTTCTTCCCACATTACAAAGTTTTACCCCCATATTACAAGTTAAACCCACACGTTACAAGTTCCATCCCCTCATTACATCCCTCCCCATGTTAGACAGTGGCGAGTGTAGTTGTGGCTCAAGCAGCCATACAAGTAGCCCGCAGACTAGTGTTAGTCGTATCTTGTTAGCAGCGTCCTCGCACTAAACTGATTACCATCCTTCCTTGTTTGCCCAGTCTAACCCTAGTTCTGTGTAGTGTTCGGTACGTGCCGGCTCCAACTACTTTGGATTACCGGAAGACTTCGCTGCAAGTTGAGTCGTTTGCGGCTCCGGTCAAATCCACTGTTGTCACTCAAATCTCCCCTAGGTGAGTAGTTCTGTGACTTATATTTTTAATTAAATAACAGGTATTTTGTAATTGGATAGAGTAAATTATGTTTTGGTAAATATGTTTTGGTAGAGTAAGTAATGGTAAATATTCATTGGTTTTGGAGGAAAAAGCACTTGGCTTAGGAATACATTAAGGAAGAAGGAATGGACACACAACCAATTAACTAACCCAAGAAATAATATCCAGGTTGTTTACAACACAAAAAGTTCAAAACACAATTAATTTGATATTTCGTCCCTGCAATGGATTCCTCAGAAGGTATTAGTTAAATGGATATCGCTTGTAGAGGACAAATCTCAAAATGAATTGCGTTGTGAAATTTTTGTGTAGTTTCAACTGTGTAGAACTCCTTTCTTGGGTATGTTAGTTTTGTATCTGTTTCTCCCTCTAACTTATCCATTGACTTTATTTTTATTAATTAATTAATAAGTATGACCAAAGCTCACTGTTACACATTATGAAGCAATTCTAAGTTAAACTTTTGTAAGCATATACACCGCATCTTGAAAGCTTTTAGCCAACTTCTAAAGTCTTGTCTTTTTCTATTCTTCATCTTTCCTTCTATTTAGGCTTAAAAAAAGTGTATAAATCATATTTTTAATGGTGCCTGGGAGTTGAATATGGAATCAGGGATCAATTTACTTCTTTGTTCATCAAGAAATCAGAGTCGCAATCCTGTGGCTTGAGAAACTGATATTTAATATTACAATTTTGGGATGTAAAACATAACAATAATTAAATCATTTTGACTACAGTATGATTTAAATTAAAGAGTAAACTCTAAACTTTCAAAAGAGTTTTTATAGATAGATCTTAAAAAAATATATTAGTTGAATACTTGTATGGTGATTTTGCTGCTGACTTCTTCTATTATACACAACAACCATTAACAATACAACACTCTAATTCTAGATCAATGCCTTGTGTTTAAAAGTTTATGACAACAATCTCAAAATTATTTAAATTAATTGTTAAAGTTTTCTTAGAATGGTATGAAATCATATGAGGAGTACATAAAGGGCAAAAATTATATTTTAACCAACTTAAGAATTAAAATACCCTCCTGAATATATTACAAATTACTGTAATCTAAACTGTTGCTATAAGAGCACCTATACACAGTTGTATCATAACTTAGCACTGCTATAGTTTACACGTTTTTCCTTGTGCACCCAGGATATTTCCAGACTACTACAGGTAAGTCCACGCTTTAGAAACAGTTGTCGTGGCTTCTTATCATCTCTGTAGACTGAAAGCACCTAAAAATTTTAATTTTAAGTTTGACATATTTGATTGTTGGACTTTTTAACGAATGATCTAGGTTAACCCTTTGAGTACAGTTGACTGGTTGTACCATTGTGGTGTATCATTGATGTAAACAGCCAGTAATTGGTTGTAATTTCAGCTCACATCGGCCTCCTTCTCTTTGTATAGTTTCTGTTAGCTATCGTGGCCGCCCTTTTATCCGTGCTTTTCTCTACCAGTTCACCTCTCAGCGTAAAAACATATATTTAGATTTAAAACGTTGTTTTGTGCTAATGTTACTACTTACTACTAGCCATCCAAACTGTAGGGACAACCCTGGAGCTGCTGTATAAAAGGTCTTGGCTAGTACAGTTGGCCACCTGACCAATTAAGATAACCTAAAAACAGAATTCCCAATCGTAAAAATTCATTCATTATTCACTGTGGTGTGTGTTTCGTAGAATATAAATTTAGCTGTTAACCAGTGTTGGTTCTATTATTGACTGTTGGATCCAAAAGTTGTATTAATAGTCAAAGTTTCTATTCTATCAAACATAAGATTTTGTAAATTTTTATTAGTCATGAAACTTTAAAGGAAGCACTGTTGGTGTATGTGGCCTTTCCTAGTTTCAATTTTAAAAATTTAAAGTAATATTAATTGCGAGTTGTCCTAGGTCTTTGGTATTTTATTAATTGCTTCTAGTCAAAACATTATTAAAGAAAGATGTTATCAAGGAACATGTCGGCCTTAGTCACTAACAAGACTACAAGATCGCGCCACTCATCCTACACTCATCCTTCACTCATATTTGGGTTAAAATACGCACATAGTGGCGTCCCCATCTTAAATAATTGATAATAATTAAGATGCTGCAAGTAAATTTCTTATTCTATTATTCTCAAACTGTTCTCCTAGGCAATGAGGAGCTCACATCTTGCATCCAACCCTATAAACACAAGACAAGCTTCTTTGAATGACAGTTAGAGTACAAGGGAGTCCGTACAATGTGCTCCTTGAACTTAACAAGATTGACAAAGATACTGTGCGATTTGGGAGATTAGTAAAAGGGTTTCAAAAAAAAAAGTCTATTACCACGCCTGGTATTTTTTGACAAAAGTTAAATAAAAAACATAAATAATGAAAGTTAAATAAAGATTGTGGATCATTGTACTATTTCAAGATTTTGGTACTAGAATATTTTTAATAAGTTTTTCTCTTAATTTTCACCGTGTTAATAATGTAGATGTATTTTAAGACAAAGACATCATTCAAAAGTTACATAGCTTACATTTGATTTTGGTTTCGATTATGGGTCATACGATTCAAAACTAGTAATCCTTGACAACTTTCCAAGGACTAAGGAAGGATAAGGGGTGTTAACCTTGATATGTTATAAGATATTTAAATATGTACATGATTTGCTAATTATAAAGTTTATGTTTTGATTTACAGATCGCCCTACATCACCCAAGAGGTGACGGTCCAAGTTCCGTCAGTCCCTGTGGTTATCCCGAGTGATCAGCTGTCACCCACCAGCGTTCTCTCTGAAGGCAACGAGTCATTCGTCGACTGCGACAGCAAACGAACCGACAGTCTCTCAGACGACCGGGAGCCGTTTAGAGAGCCTGAAAGTGACATTAAACTTATTGAGGAACCTGCCGAGGCGAAAGTCGGCGAATCCGAAGTTGAATCGGAAGTGATAGAGAGGACAGAAACCGTTATAGTTTTAGAGTCGCCTCTTGAGAAACTCTCACGAGAATCGGTAGAAAGTGTTGAAAGTGTTGTGTCAGACAGATCGTTGTCGGTGGTGAGTGGAGAAATAAGAAGGACTTCTGTGATAGACCCTCCCTCGGGGTTTCAGACTAGCTCGCCTTCCTCTAGGGAAGACCTTCGCGAGGAACTCGAACCTGAAACTTGTGAAACTGAACCTGAAGTTTGTGAGGAAACTTGTGTGGAAGTTGAAACTTGCGAATCTGAAGTTGTTCATCCACCCATTGTTGAAGTCCCGCCGTGGACTCGAAGTGACCTTCGCACTTCGTCCAAGCTCTTCCGAGGACAAAGTGTAGATGTGAGTATAGAGTATTGTTTTGTTTACATTCAGTAATATTTTATATGGGTGATGTTTTTCGTGAAGATCCAATTGCTCAACGATCTTTAGAAGAAATTAAGATAAAGAGATAGTTCTAAAATCATTGCTTCATATTGCTTTAATAATCCTAAAATCTCAATTTTGTATATTTTACATAATTAGATTCAATTTGCCTACATTGTAATAAACAAATAAACTGTAAAAATTGTTACCGGGTGTCCCATTATACTCTCCCTCTGGGGAGACTTGGGACACTTGGTATGTGCTACAAGGTTTGTTATGGAACAACAAGCTGACAGTTTGAATTAATTTGTTTGGTTTAAAATTAAAATTAATTAACTATCTTGATATAGTGACTATCTTGATGAAATTCCTAGTATTATCTGTTACCTATAGTTAACCATTTCATAAAATGTAGTACATTTTCAAACACAGTTAAACATTTAATTTGAACTGAAAGTAAATACATAGTGAAGCAGTAAACTGAATTGTTGTTTCACATGTAGAATCGTCAGAGGTGTTCTTCATTGACGATATCACGGTTAATCGCACCTTTAATCATTCCTGTGATATCAGTACCTGTTATACGATTACCTGAAGAAGATGAGGTATGAAATACAACCGAGGTAGAACCTCTTTAATCCATTTGTAAAAGTAACACATTCATAAAAGGAGAGTAAACATAATAATAAAAGGCACAACCAAATCACACTGACAAAGCTATGGTTAGTTAAACCAGTTAATTGCTCATTAACTCATTTTTCGGACGCTATTAGTTATTTTTCAATGCGGTTGCACCAAGGGTTCTACTGCACTGTTGTCAGTACAAAGGAAAAACAGTTTTCTACCGACTTTTGGTGTCCTGCTTTCTTTGTAATTGCATTTTAATGACTATGTTTACAGTCAATGGTTGTAGCATAGCTGTGCCATTGCTTTCACAAATCAATCCTTAAAATAAGCCTAATATTTCATCTCCAACCAAAGAGTGGACGGTTGATCATCCAATGTTATTTAACTGGTTATTTATTGTTTTCACAACGGATTATAGAGGTTCTACTGTAGTGTAATCGTAATGTCGCAGCACAATCACCTTTATTTTGTACAGTTTTTGAGGCACGCGAGTGACACATTTTGACACACACGGATGTTTTCTCAGCAACTTTCAGCACAATTTGAGTCAAGTCTAATGAGTCTAGAGAAAAAAAGGCTAAATCCATACAAATCTTTGTCATCATATTATGAGCAGACCGTACAATTATTTGTTACTAAATACAAAAAAAATACTATGTTAAACATAGTAACATGAGTTGTTTTGTAATCCCAATAGCTATGTCCACACTTGGGCTTTTTTGTGTACGCGCCTTGCGCATGCTACTTACTTAGGGCATGCTTTGACGCAAATGGACACAAGTAACTCATGCGTCAAGGCATGCCCGAAATGAGTCCGAAGGAGCTCCAATCCACAGCGCACAGGGTATCGTAAGACAATCCACCAACCTTGGATTTCTGTGCATTTCAACTTCTAACTGTTTACATTTGTGACAAGTCGTCCGTGTTGCAGTTGTTTTAATAACTAAGAAACCTCAGAATTCATAGAAGTTTGTGGGACATAAAGGGTGATAAACAAAAAAAATTATTTTAATGAACTAAACTAATCAAATGAAGTTGAGTTAATAAATAAATACAATTTGATAAGAAAATTACGAGTTCTACAGTACTTCTTCTTCCACATTGTATGCCTTAATTACTTAAGTTTTTTAAATGTTCTTAACACTAAATATACCGATTCCTCCTATCAGAATAGTGTCGTCTTCATCCAACTAGGAAAAGGTATCTAAAATTAAAATTTGAGGAAAGTGAGGCAGCTGAAAGGCATGCCTCAAAGAGATTGCAATACCATATATGTTGTGAATATTACATTGAATGTTGAATTAAAATTTGAAAGGTACGTCGAAATTGAAAGCGCACGATTGTGGACATAGCTAAAGATCATTAATGTTTCTTTCCTAACAGTCATTACACCTGGCTTATGTGTATTTTGCTATTGTGTGTGGGTTTCAGCACTGAATAAATCACTTAAGGTTTAAAAATTATAAGTATGAGGTTAAGTTTATGTAGTAAAGAGGTTCGTACTCCTAGGATAAGAGATTACACAAGAGGACTAGAGATAACCACAACACTTTACCTCGTTTAAATTACTAAAAAAGAATATTGTTGTCCTTATTAGTTATAGTTTAGAAGTCCAATATGGCAAAACCTGTATTATAAGAGAGTTTGAATTGCTGCGATATTGATTGATCCAAAATAGGCTTATAACCCAATGGCAATAGAAAAATGTATACTTAGACTAACACTTATTTTAAATAAAATTAGCTCAATGCTTTATAGGTTTGTTATCAACTACTACAGCCAGGACCATATTTCCGTATGGGCAAAAAAAATTAGGCAATTTTTTAGGGAGCAAGAAAATTTAAAGGGTTAGGTAACCAAAAGTAAAAATAGAGGTTTTAGTATTAAAAAATAAATGTTGTTAAGTAAATAATTCTGGGAACTGCAAACGGTTATTTTAAATATACTTTGATCAAGAATAAAATTATTTCAGAACGCATTAAAGTCAAAAGTCAATAATTTATTACACGCCTCTGTTGAGTTTTTCGGGCTGCACTATTAGTCTGGCGGACTCGTCGTGGCTGGCAGGCCCAGTCAGCTGGCCTCTGCGTAGTGACAATAAAAGTTAATACTCTTCCCTGCGGCAGTGCTAGCTGAATATTGAAGGAGATTTGCTTAACTCCCGGACTTAAATTCAGTTATTAACTCATTTGTTTGGTTAAAATCAAGTAGGAAAGTGTGAACTAACTACTAACATAACTCATGCAAAGTTGTATGTTATTCTTTTAAGTAAAAGTACTTACTTTTTTTGTTTGATTCATTTAGTTTTTCGCAAATAAAACCGTTTTGTAAATAAAAATATTAGTTTTACTTCAAAGTCAATTTGGCGCTTTCAAGTGGATCTGACCACAGAGAAGAAAGAATAGAGGATGAAAACTGATGGGATAACCGTGCTCATATAAGCTCTGGTATGTTGGGGTGGAAATGTATTAGTATGGAGTAAGGAAGAGCCCAAACGGTGATGGCCACTTAGCATATTTGCACAGCAGTTGTAGTGCACAGGATCTTCCTACCACTTGAGTGCTGTAAATGAGAGAGAAAGGATCAAGAGAGAAAGGATGAAGGTAAAGGCTATTTGTTGTAACAAATAGAATTTACTCAAGACACCTGTGACTGGTGCTAGACACCACTTAAATGTACCATTGAATGTATCTTCTGTTTCTTACCTCTCTGTGATCTGACTAAAAGTGTTAGATGAAAAGCGTTATGAGAGCCCTTGCAGCAAAATGCAATTATGACATCTAGTTAAGAATCATTTTCATAAACAGTTTTTTTTGCATGTGCGCCATTGCCATTTTTATAATTAATTGAAATTCAAACACTTTTAGGTGAAAGCGGTCCAAAAACATTAAAGTTTTGTGAATGTTCCGGGAATCAAACCTGTCCCTCCAGCACCGAAATCTGTGACGCTAACCACTAGACTAGCAACACATCCAATATTCAAATAACTTAGGTCTCGCTTAATCCAATAGATAAAGGATAGTAAAGACACTTACACACCTGAATAGAGAACCCTTATATTTTATTAGTCCAAATTCCAAAGGCAATACCATTAACAATTCTGTATAACACTTAAGTGCAGTTGACCAATTGGGTTGTGACAAATATATAATTTTAAAAACATAGGCTAAAGTAGGCTATTATAACAAAATACGCATTTGTTTTCTTTAATTGTGTTAGTGATGTAATTTTGATGTGATGTCTAGGTTGACAGCTCAGTCAGTGTAATACGTCGTGGTCAGCTGCTGAGGTCAGCCAGCACAGGTCAAGAGGTCGATGCTGTAGGTCTAGACAACATGACAGTGACCAACACATCACAGTCCCAATCCTCAGTGTTGTTGGCCAAACATTGGGGACCGGAACGCAACGTCCATGTGCTGAGAGAACCAAACTGCAGTCTGGGCATCAGCATAGTAGGTGGCAAGGTGAGCAACATTCAAACCTTCTGTAAACACTGTCTGTTAATTAAGGCATCTATCGAGCTCCCAAGAGGGCCAAGCTCATGTCTGAAACCAGCGCTGTTCTCTTCAAGTCATCCACAACTTACACCATTTCCACCTGCTATTTGATAATTGATCTTGTCATAGTAGAAACAAAAATGTATAGGCAAATATGCACCAATTATTTCTAGAGTACCTGGGACCGAGCTTTGCTCGGGGAAAAGCATTAGTTCACTTTGAAAGCACCTTAGTCTGTAGAACCCACTGTATTTTATAGCTTTAGTTTTTATTTATTGTTGACTATGTCTATTCCTTGTAAAAGGTCAATGACAATAAAGATCTTGATTCTTGATTCTTGATTCTAGTATTGGAGATGCATAAATCCATTCCCAAACTCCACACGGCTCGCCTTCACCACCATTTCCTACGTCATCCCATTTCCTGTTTCCCTCCATTCCCATTGCATTTAAAGATTGCAAATACCTTAATCTAATCGTCATAAACAGTTCCCACACTCCGGACTACTCGCCTTGACTACTTCCTTCACCACTTCCTACGTCGCGGACCTGTTTCCCTCCCTTTCCATAGCATTTTAGGATTGCAAATACTTTAATCTAATCATCATAAACAATTCCCACACTCCGGACTACTCGCCTTGACTACTTCCTTCACCACTTCCTACGTCGCGGACCTGTTTCCCTCCCTTCCCATAGCATTTTAGGATTGCCCATATCCTTATCTAATCGTCATAAACAGTTCCCACATTCCGGACAGCTCGCCTTGACTACTTCCTTCACCACTTCCTACGTCGCGGACCTGTTTCCCTCCCTTCCCGTAGCATTTTAGGATTGCCCATACCCTTATCTAATCGTCATAAACAGTTCCCACACTCCGGACAGCTCGCCTTGACTACTTCCTTCACCACTTCCTATGTCGCGGACCTGTTTTCCTTCCTTTCCATAGCATTTTAAGATTGCGGACACCTTAATCTAATCGTCATAAACAGTTCCCACAATCCGGACTACTCGCCTTGACTACTTCCTTCACCACTTCCTACGTCGCGGACCTGTTTTCCTTCCTTCCCATAGCATTTTAGGATTGCAGATACCCTAATCTTATCGTCATAAACATTCCCCACACTCCGGACTGCTCGCCTTCACTACTTCCTTCATCACTCCCTACGTCACGGACCTGTTTCCCTCTATTCCCATAGCATTTTATGATTGCCTTTATTACTTCCTTCACCACTTCCTATGTCGTGGACCTGTTTCCTTCCCTTCCCATAGCATTTTAGGATTGCAGATACCTTAATCTAATCTAATCGTCATAAACAGATCCCAGACTTCGCACTGCTGCCCTTGACTACAATCATAGATAAAACCATAGACTATAAAACATACTCCCTACAATGTATCGAGTAATCTTCAGTATAATCTTTGCTAAATATTATGCTAATTATTAAGTGATGTTTTCCTTTTGTACTGTATTTGTAATTTGCTAGTATACTGTGGGTAGTTGGCTTACTATGAACACATGCTACAACTTCAAGTCTTTTGTTTACTTTATCCTTGTTATTTAATTCATCCAACATGGTTACCTAGCAACCCATAAGACTAATGTTAAAAAAATGTGATTTTCAGTTTCATTTTTCTACGTAATTAGATTTTTGTTGGCAGTTCTAACTGCATGAAACTCGTTTTTAGGCCAAAAATAAACTATTTACAAGATTTGAAGAAAATCGTCGGAGCCGTTTTCGAGATCTTTCTGCAAGCAAGCAAGCAAGCAAGCAAGCAAGCAAGCAAGCATACAAGCAAACATTGCTCGTATTAGAGTATAGGATTACTATAGTCTATAGCATCAACGGCTCTTAAGTCCATCACCAGTTAGATGACAGTGAATGACAATGAAGTTAAGTGTTTGGAAGTATAAAATGTGCGTACGTGGTGGAGGGAGTTTAGAGGGGGTCGTTTTGCACCATGCTTTGCACAGTGAACTGTAGTCCGACCTCGGTCGTTCATATTTAAGGCAGTGTTCAAAGTAAAGAGAATTATGCATGCAGGTCGTGTTGTGTGTGACTGGAAAAAAAGATTAAAAAAGATTACCAGACTTTGGGCATTTGTTTATAAAACTATCAAGGACAACAATAAACTCTTGATAGTCATAAACACCCTGATCAGGAAGCAAAGTTTCCTCAACTTCATCCATCCACTGTCTGATGGAAACTAATAAACGCTGCCAACCCCTTTGTGTAGATGTGTACGGTCTTCCTTTGGCAACTTTTACATTTTAAACCTCTAAGGACTTTTCCACATACTCTACACACCTGACAACTTGCAGCGGATTTCAACTGTCAGCACTCAATTCCCAACCTTCAGAAACCTAATTACGAAGGGTAATTGATACTTGGTTGGATTCTAGATATTTTACTGCTACTATTATGTAGTATTTTATCGCTACTACTTGATGGGAAATTGCTCAAATTATCCTGGTTGAATTTACATTGGTGTAATTTAAAATGGTGTTCCCTGATGATTTGGTATTATGCTGATGGTATGTTTTGCATGACCAGGTTGACTTGTACAATGCCGGAGGTGACAGTGGCTCAGCCATTTCTGGTATCTTCATCAAGAACGTCCTGCCCCAAAGTCCTGCAGGACGCACAAACGAACTCAAGGTACTTTGTTACTGTCATTGATAATTTTTGACCATCTAAAACAATAATACAGACAGTTAAATTTGGCATTATAATCATCTCATAGTGCAGTTGCGATTGCGAGAGACGATCGTGGTCAGACCGCAAAATATGCTCGGGAGTTTAGCCGCAATAGTAAATGACAAGTATATTATTACCGAGACAACAACATTTACTTATAGGTGTTGCTGGGAACATGAGTGACGACCACGGAATGACCAAGTTGCCACGATCACGAATGACGATATTTACTTACGGGTATTGTGTTGCCGCAATTTTGACGATCATTGATTTATACCAATTATATGAAAATTATTATTTCCCTGTACGCCTTTGCGGGCCGTAGGTTGGAGACCCCTGACATAGACTGTTGAGTTACCGGGTGTCAAGTTATTGAGCTTTTATTGTACAAGTTAACACTAATAAAAATAACAGAAGTTTTCATTGACAATCTTTTGTAAAGAAAAAAAAGAAACTTCACTTATATTCAAAATATACTCTTTACCTAATTGATCATTCCATCAAGCAAAATCACCTCACACCTTTATGTAATACAATTTAGGTATTTCATACAGGTGTGAATATAACAAAAAGTTGCCCCCTGGTGGGGTTTTAATGAATTTAATTTAATTTTTTTTTTGAACTACTGAGGACATTACAATCACAGAGCTGCGCAGTGGAAATAAAGATGTTAAGTGTGGGCCCTGTAATTAAATATCCCAGAAGTCCGATTTAGGGACCGTGAGAGGTCTGATATGTTGTCCTCCTTCACACCCTCTTCAGCTTAATTCTAACACTTCTTAAAACTAATAGATGTGTCTATTTGAACACTCCATGAATTAAAATGTGCTGTTCTGATGAAAGATTGTGATATGAATTGATACTCTGTAAAACTGTAAAATTGCAAATAATAATATTGAAATATTGATTGAAAATATTTGTGAAACTGTTTGTTCAGGAAATATTTATCAAAAGTAGGACTTCAAGATGTTTATATATACTGGATTCGGTTAAGCCGATTGCTCATGAATTCACCAATTTAACATTAAACATTATGAACTGAGCTTATAAAAATTGCACTGTCAAAATATATTTACAAAATGTGATCATCAACACTCATTGTGAATACTTTGTATACCTCTTTCAGTTAAGCCATTTACCTCTTTACTTTACCAGTTTATACTAATGATACTAACAGCTGAAACACAGGATAATGAAAAGATGGTGATTTGTAAAAATACTGTATAATGAGTCGAATTGAGCTGTGATACAAGTAACAAATATAAACAATGTAATAACCTTTTTTGTGCACAATTTAACAATATTTTGAAAGAGAGAGTGAGAGAGTTGATTGTAAGATTGAATGTTCAAATTGGCGGTTTGTTAATTTTTTTAAAACTGCAAAGTCTCGGGAAAACCTAGCCTTGATGATTTTATTTATTTGTTTTGGATCACCAGACTCCCCAAAGATGTTCGTAATTATCAAACTGGCCAGTTTACAATTTAATCAAACAGGGACTATTATGTAGGTTTGTGATCTACATCACTCCTTGCTGATCAGTGCAACGGGGCCAATCGACTGCTGAGTCGATTATTTGATAATTTTTATTTAGTATTTGATATTTATGAATTTAATGGGAGTCTATCCTCATGACCCTTTATCAACCCTAGCCTTCGACCGAGCACTCTGTTACCCCCATTTACGTTACACAATCAAACTCCCACTATTAAAAAATGTAATACTGTTCAAAAATTATTCTACACATGAAATTCAAACGTTTTAAATAATAATACTGATGATGATAGAATCTGACTTTACATAGAATACAAAAATAATAATATCACAGATAAACATTGCTCTTTAAATTAATATACCATTTCAATTAATTTAATAAATAATTTTCATTTGACTAGGTTCACTATTATAACTTAAATTCTTTGTATGACATGACCAAATTTAATAAATCATTTTATCCTGAATCGTGACCATGTGCTCTAAGTAGACCAAATGAAACATGAAAATCTCAGACCAAACAAAACATGATTCATAACTTGTAAAACGAGTGGTACATGTGAAAAAATGTGGCAGATTGGCAAGACTATTTTAACACCAAAACACAAATAACACAAACATTTACTTACGTACACATGTCGACACATTAACATTCATTCCGACGAAGATTCACGCGTACCGAACATTTAAAAACTGACTCGTGGTAATTTGTGACTTTTTGTCTAACCGAGCGGAACATCACGACACGGTTTTTTCTGGTGTAGGACTTATTAATTCTTGTTTTTTCGAGCTGGCGTTTAATGATTCAATTGAAATTACCTTCACGACGACCCGCTATTCGCTAGAAACTGACATTTGCTATCGATATGATGCATGTACGAATTTTCATCACGAACGCGAACAATCAATCCGGCATCTCAACTGTCTCGACTTAATACTAATAAAACACACCCCCAAATGCAATTCGGCGAAATTTTGACAATTGCGATCGTTTGATGCACGTACAATTTCCGCCCGAACGCTAATTTCCGAGCTACGAATTAAGATATTAATAAATTCGTCCTACACCAGCGACAAAACGCGACTTCACATGTTGACTACGCGATTACTGAGCCACGAGTGACGACGAGACGTTTGCACGCGACACGGTTCGAGTGTAGTATTCCTCCGCGTTACGTCATGTTGGACTGACTTGTCCATTGCCTGGCGCGGATTTTAAATCTTTGAATTTAAAATCGGCACACTTTGTTTCATCCTTTTTTCTGTACATTTGAAAGTTCAAATACACCAGTGGAAGAAGAAATCAATCTGAGGTGAAATCATGAGATAACTTGTGGTTTTGTTAGGGAGGCTGTTTTGAAGTGGTTTTTACGTTATGGTTTGTTAATTACATTACATCAAGAGTTAAAGAGCCATTTATCTAACTGGCTTGTGTTATTTGAGGGATAATTGTAGACATTTTCCATCACAATTAATTATAAATAAACATTTTAAAATCAGGAATCTGATTCCATCCGTTGGTGAGATAGTACTTAAAATATTAGGGATTAGTACACAAACCCAGCCTAAGCAGGAAAATCACAAAAACAACACTTAGTGATTTTCACAAGATGGTAGTTCATTTCTTAAAAAAACATAGACTTACCGTTACTAAAAGGCGAAAATGAGTTACAAACAAGGGATGATTTTTTGACATCACTAAGTTAGAAATTCTAACAATTAAGCTGTGTGTTGACAGACGGGTGACCGTATCTTGGAGGTGGATGGTATTGACCTCCGCACGGCCAGTCATGAGAGAGCTGTGGAAGTGATCAGGGCCGCTGGCAACCCCGTCAGGTTCTTGGTGCAGTCTCTAGTACAGTGGGTGAGTCACTCACGTTGATGTGTCATATATGCAAATTGTTTTTATAACTCCAAACTCTTATAATTCCAAGCTATCAGAAAACGAAGAAACAGCACAACTCCAAGTTCTAATACCATACGTTTCCAACCCATCATATTTCCGAGGAAATATGAGAAAAAGCTGGCAAAATAAACATTTAAACTTGGTCAATTTTTTTTTAATGCTTCTTGTATTGGTTTTTCTCCCAAATTCACCTTGGTGTATACTCTAAAGTCTATATCTAATATCTACCAAAATAGCTGGAAACATCCAATAAAATTGTTAATCTACAAACCTAGGCGTCTTCACAATGTTTACCATTCATTCATATTTATGTTTGTACTCTTCATATTTCCATCACTGAAGGAATTGATTAAAAACCTATTCTCTCTCTTACTTTTTCAGAGTGTTGACAGTGAGAATGAAGGAGCCTCAGGCTACAATTACAGCCGAGGGATGTCTGTGAAGAAGAAGGCTCCTGCTCCACCTTCACCTACAGATCTACTCAAGGCCACCCCCTACCCCATCCCTCAGGCTCGTACACCTACCCCTGAACTGATACAGGTACTTACATAGATATCTGTAGACGGATAATGTATGAGTAGAAGTGGAAGTGTGTCTGTTGAGCCCACAGGTACAGCAGTGATGTGAAGAGTCAAGTATTTATTATAAAGACGTATTTGATACTTTTTCAACCAACTCAGTACACTTAAGATGATATCAACATCAGTGATGATGACTCGTAGTATTCAAGATGGAGAACTATTCTGACTAGAGTTCTTACACTCTGTATTCAGTGCGGTTGATTATTAGTAGTAACTGGAGAACGATTGCCTCGAATCCAGAGCACTTGGAATTGAGCAGTGTTGACTCGAAAGTGATTATAAAAATGTTAACGGGCTGACATTTTATCAGTATATTTTTCAAACCTACTTTGGAAATTGTATATATAGTTTTTAAATGTTCAGTGCATAAATGGTGAAGTAACGTGAAATCAAAGTTTAAACCTTATGGAAGGGAACGCAGCATGCTATGTTACTATGATCAATCAATCATTGTATGCCAAAATGCAAGACTGCAGTTGGTCGGATGGGAGGAGGCGGAGACAGCAAGGTGGTTGTAGAGCCTTTACCAAGGCCCTGGCCCCTCGCCAGGCCTCTGTCAAGAAGTACTCATCATCAGAGGAGAGTCATAACAAGTACACTGTATATTCTGTTCAGTTAATCATTGTCTGCACGATGGCTGGACAGATGGGAGGAGGCAAAGTCAGCAGGGTGGTCGTAGAGCCTCTACCAAGGCCCCGGCCCCCCGCCAGGCCTCTGTCAAGAAGTACTCATCATGAGAGGAGAGTCATAACAAGTACACTGTATATTCTGTTCAGTTAATCATTGTCTGCACGATGGCTGGACAGATGGGAGGAGGCAAAGTCAGCAGGGTGGTAGTAGAGCCTCTACCAAGGCCCCGGCCCCCCGCCAGGCCTCTGTCAAGAAGTACTCATCGTCAGAAGAGAGTCATTACAAGTACGCTGTATATTCTGTTACATTAATCATTGTCTGCAGAATTGCTGGTCAGATGGAAAGAGTCAGAGTCATCAGTGTGGTCGTAGAGCCTCTACCAAGGCCCCGGCCCCCCGCCAGGCCTCTGTCAAGAAGTACTCATCATCAGAGGAGAGGCATTACAAGTACACTTATATTCTGTTACATTAATCATTGTCTGCAGGATGGCTGGTCAGATGGGAGGAGGCAGAGTCAGCAGTGTGGTCGTAGAGCCTCTACCAAGGCCCCGGCCCCCCGCCAGGCCTCTGTCAAGAAGTACTCATCATCAGAAGAGAGTCATTACAAGTACGCTGTATATTCTGTTACATTAATCATTGTCTGCAGAATTGCTGGTCAGATGGAAAGAGTCAGAGTCATCAGTGTGGTCGTAGAGCCTCTACCAAGGCCCCGGCCCCCCGCCAGGCCTCTGTCAAGAAGTACTCATCATCAGAAGAGAGTCATTACAAGTACGCTGTATATTCTGTTACATTAATCATTGTCTGCAGAATTGCTGGTCAGATGGAAAGAGTCAGAGTCATCAGTGTGGTCGTAGAGCCTCTACCAAGGCCCCGGCCCCCCGCCAGGCCTCTGTCAAGAAGTACTCATCATCAGAGGAGAGGCATTACAAGTACACTGTATATTCTGTTACATTAATCATTGTCTGCAGGATGGCTGGTCAGATGGGAGGAGGCAGAGTCAGCAGGGTGGTCGTAGAGCCTCTACTAAGGCCCCAGCCCCTCGCCAGGCCTCTGTCAAGAAGTACTCATCATCCGAGGAGAGTGATGACGAGGAGGACACTCGAGACATGGAGGGCCGCATATACACCAAGAAGGGAGTAGAGGTAAAAACATTTCCCAGACATGTTGTAGTTCAGTTCTATGATTGATTATAAATTTATCTTTTGATTCGAGTTGAAGGATGGTCTGTTAATCAACAAACTTAATGGTGTTCACTGTTCACATGATTTTCCCTTATATCCTAACATTTAATTACATGCATTATTTCCCATTGATACTTTTTTGAGTTTTTTTTATATAAAAAATTATAAAAACGTCATTGACGCTTAATAAATAATTGTTGCAATCCATTTACTATTTTACACTTACTTTTTTGAATTTCCATGTAGATAACTAATAGACCAGGCCAATAAATAAGAGGATTATCTAAAAAGCAAGGTCTCCAACAGGCTTTCATCACTGCCAATCATTGTACTGTAGTTGCAATCTGACCAACACCTGTTCTTTACTATTCTAGCCAGTATCCACAGTTAAGTAGGTAACAATTTGCTTTTTTGTAGTAGCTTATAACAATGGGAGGGAAAATCAACAATACCACAAATCATGTATCACAAGTTGTGGTTTCATTTTTATCCAATTTGTTTTTTTCTAATGGGTCAATCCATGTTAAAGTCCATCACCAGTTAACAGATGTGGAATGAGCTGTGGACACAGAAAACGTTTGTAAGGTGTAGACATAGTTTAAAGATACCCGTAATCATTTGCACTGTCTTAGCTGGCTGTGGTCGTTTGTCAGGTTTTAAGTAGTTGATTAGATTAAGGAACTTTACATGTTGTGGTGTGACTGGACAGAAGGTTTCCGAGCTGCCTAAAGCCATAGTCTAGGACAACGTTAAACACTGGTAGTCTTAAATTCATCAATATATACAAGTAAAGTTTTAACTCATTGTATACAGTCTTTTTCAAACTCTTTAAGCCACTTTGTGAATTTGTTGCATCTATGAACGTTTCTTTATACACATTTCATTAGGGGATGATACCTTTCCCACGGATACCTATACTGTATTCACAGAACACAATTAAAACTCTTATTACGTCAATATTTCTTCACATCATTATCAGCTATGTTGTAAAAGTAAACGAGACTAATGGTATTATAGTGGTCAAAACCAGCTGGAATAGTTGTCAGAAAATAAAAAACGTAAATCAGATTTAAGAAATGAAATAGCTTGCTTAGCTGCAACTCAAGCTTGTTGGAGTTCTTAATTTAGTGAAAGCCCTCATAGCTTACATGATTAATTTTGGTTTATAAAATGTACAACTCCTTTGAAGATTACTATAAAACACAGACACAAGCATGATGTGTGTTAAAAATGTCATTAATTTCAATATTATTTCAGTGTTTTTAATATTTTATCTAAAACTTCCACTGTTCATCATCTTGGACCTATTGTACTTGTCTGCCCAATACCAGTGATCTAAACAGTAAAGTTCACTTATAGTAAGCCTATGTTACAAGGCAAGCCAGGGATAACTGTATTGTCATTCTTCTACATGGTGTTTCAGTAAAGCGTAGCGTGCTATGCAGATTCAGATTCTACATGCAAAAATAAGTCGAAAATGTAGAATAAATTTTTTTTCGATTTTGGCTTAGTTTAGCTGTACCAATTTGTATTTTTTCGGTAGATAAATAATAATAACTCAAAAACCTCTGGTGGTATTTTTATGAAACTTGGTATAAGCTTTAAGTCTGCATGTATAAACATTCTCTGAAAATACCTTTCGTCAGGCTCATCAAACATCAAAATGGTGGCCTTTTAAAATGTTGTTTTAATGGCTGGTTTTCATGAAATAGTACTTTAAAAAATTTAAATGGCCGCCATTTTTATGTTTGATGAGCCTGACCAAAGATATTTTTGGAGAATGTTTATTCCTGCAGACTTAAAGTTTATACCAAGTTTCATAAAAACACCTCCAGAGGTTTTTGAGTTGTAAATTATTTTCAAAAAATATAAAATGGCGGATTACAGCTAAACTAAGCCAAAATCTAAAACAGCTATTCTACATTTTCGACTTATTTTTGCATGTAGAATCTAAATCTGCATAGCCCGCTACGCTTTACTGAAACACCCTGTATACCAGACTCAGAGAAACCCATAAAACATGTATACCATCTGAAATTTATATTCCTACAAAAAAATAAAACATAATTTCTTTCTTTCAGATATCTCGTGCGAGTGCGGGCAACGTAAAGCGAACGAAAGAAGAAATAGATGCTGACCCAGAAGAGGAGGATGACTTCGGCTACACGCAAAGTAAGTGATTCATTTTTTTCAGTGTATTGGGGTGAAGTTTTTATCAATGCGGAAGTTAAGAAATAAAGACTTAACATGCAAATGTAGATCTTACGTGACAGTAATACTATTGCATTTGCCTGTGAACAAGGTAAGAAAGTTATTCAAGTAGCGAGGGACGAGTACTAAAAGGTCCAGCTGGTTTTATTCCTTGCATCCGTAGAAGAAACAATATTTTGGGCACTTCATATATGTTTTGAATTTCAAACCTCTTTGTCCTGAAGAGTGTAAGTTGCCCTCAAAGCTTTGACTCTTGGGTCTAGTGCTGCATTCTAGTGTTATAAAAGGTGGTAACTCAGTTGCCTTCATTGCGACGATGTACATGGCTTAGTTTATGTGTTGTCTCCCATAGTTGGCCAACCCTCCAAAAATTATTAAAAATTGTAAATTCTTAGAACTTACGTAAATTGTATGTTCTTGGATAAAAAAACACATGTGTTAAGTTTATACTCCAAATACTGAGATGAAAAAAGGAACCGAAATATAATTCAGAACTAAAACCATTCTACCTAACTGTTATTCTACTTTAGCAAATATTTTTTTACCTTTTCGAGCAAAGATAAACGGAAATGTTAAACTAATTTTGTGTGGATGGTTATAGGAATAACCCAACTAATTTCTGAAACATTTTCCTACACTAAACAAACCTGATTACTTGGTGGATGGAAATAAAATTGTTTTATAAACTTGCTAAATGTTGCACTGCCTACGTTTGACCTATAACTCCAATCAAGATCATTAACAGCTTGCTCTGGGTGGGGAAGGGGAGGCCTGTTGGTGATTGGATTCTACTGTACCTGGGTAATTGGCAAAATTTCCATAAATTGTTCACTATGGGATCCGCAACAATGTTATATTTAACAGGATTTTGAGTCGTGTTTTGATCACCTTTATATGGTTTATTTTAAAATTACTTGTTAATATGTAATGACAAATACATCCATGGACCGAACATTTTAGTTTGTTTCAACTAACCTAAGACAATAGGGTTTTTGTTTACTTTTTGTATTGTTATTTCACATATTTTACAACTACTTTAACAATACAAAACAATCTAATTATGAACAATAGCTCGTCCTCTAGTCTAGTTGTATAAACAAATAGTAAAGCACTAAATTGTAAAATTAGAAAAATATATTTTGAGGGGCAGTCAACTCCAACATGCAACGTCGAACATATAAATAGACTTCTGATTTAATCATAGGACGAGATGTATACTTGTACTCTTTAAACCCTACACTTATATTAGTCTCATCAAGTATTCATTATTGTATGTAGATGGTAATATACTTGAAAATCTACAAAAAAGTATATTTTTTTAGGAGGTGGTGTGGGCACCCCTTATGTTTTAAAAAGAGTAAATTATTTTATATCAGCTTTTAATCCAGCCAAAAGTGTTTCTATAGGGGGAGGGAGTGTTTTATACCAAAAACCAGAATTTTACACCATTCGCTGTATTTAAACGGGATCGGAGATAAACAATATTTTAGGCTCTGATGCCTGATTTTTGTTTTGTTACTAATTTCAGATAAACTATTGCCCAAAGTAATTTCATTATTGAAAACATAGTATGATAGCAAGGTTTAAAGAGCTTTTTAATCATGATAGGGTAACAAGATCACTCTGTACGGAGCAGGATTTTTTACAACTAAATGTTGTAAAAAATCCTGCACAGGATAAAGCGGCATTTCTTTGACTCTTTAAGCGGTATTATTGTTTTGATTATATAGGAACACTGCCAACTCAGTTTATATTCGATTGGAGTCTTAACTCTACAATACAGTTAAAGTGCAGACAGTTATGGTGTCAAGTTGATTTCTTTGTCAATAGTTTTACCCTCCTCTAAAATATAAGATGTTCACACAAACATGTAGTACTACCCAATTCAAATATTTGGCGAGCGGTACTACTGGTAGGTGGTAGGGCACAAGACGTCAGTCCTTAAGGTCCTAAGTTTATAACCCACCAATTACCAACGGATATTTTACCAGTGATAATTCCGCAACCCTCTAAGCCTTGTTTGAAGTAATGTGTAAAGAGTTCAAACATCTAATCATAGATAGTGAGAGTGTAAGGTGTAAGGAGAGGGGTCAATTTGTATTCAGATCACAAATGAAGAATATTGGCCATTGTTTGGCAGCACTTCCTGCCTTCAAGGCCTCTTGATGCCTTGGCTTACTTTTCTGCTAGTGAATTTTTAAGTTTAATTGCAAAATCAAAATAGCTTTATAATCCTAGTTATTTTAAAATACACCTTCTTGTTTTAAAACTATGATTATTATACATCTGATTCTTCCAATCTACATTGTTGTTATACCAAGCAAACTGCCTGAAACTATTTGGTATTTAGTAATTCTTTAAAAATTCTTCATAGTTTCCTATGAAAAAGTATATTTTCATCAATCCAATGTTTTATATTCTAGCAGAGCATATTATTTTTATTGCACTCTGAAACTCTTGCTGTATTTATTTAGTAGTTACATCACTGTTGTTTTAAAATACTCAACAGTATAATCGCCTGAATACACCCCTGCTATAATGTAATAAAACCAGAAATTATTAAATATTTTACACATATTGTATAGAGTGTTTTTTCCCCAGACTTAATCTTGACTCAAATTCTTTTTTGTGATTGGTTAAGGCCAATTTATATGTGGCGACTGATATGACTGAGTCGCTCAGCGTTAGACAGAGAAAATTACAAACAGTAAATTTTGTAATTTGTTTCATACTAAGCTAAAAAAGCTATTAACATTTCACTAAAAAGATAGAGTCTTTGTTAGGTTTTCTGTTGCAGCAAACTTAACTATTCATTAATCCTAATGTTATTTTATATTGGGAATAAGTTTGATATTTTTATGGTAAAAGTTTAATGAAAATTGAATCAGGCAAATGAAAGTTTGCTTAGTATGCAGATTTGCTGTGGCAAGGGTATTTTATAAGGTTTGCTTATTATTTGATAAAATTTAATAGAATATTTTTGTTACTATATTTCATTTTTAACTGTATTCTGCCGTTGTCCAGGATATTTATCTTTGTGATAGTTGAAAGAATTATTATTGTTAATGCTATCAAGCTGCATAAACAGTACAGTAAACTGATTTTTTACATGTGACATATGCACTGCAGTGTTGCCAGCTAGTGCAACCACAATCTGAACTCAGGTTCAGCAAATGTCAATCTTTGTGTGATTGCTGTTTCATTATTATCAATGCAGCATTGAAACTGTCATTATTTTCAATGAGTTTAAGTATTTCTCATAACATAACACTGCACTTGAACAACAAGTGTGGGTGTGTTAGGCTATAGTTTTATTGGGTTGGGTCGGTTCATCGATAGTATATTAATTTGAACGATAGTATATTAATTTGAACGATAGTATATTAATTTGAACGATAGTGTATATTAATTTGAACGTTTGCTGTTTGTAAAACCTAGGTACTTATGTACTTCTATTTTTGTGGTAAAATATAATTATTTTAAATTCTAATTTTAGTTTGTTGGTGATTTAAATAACATGACTTTTTCTAAAGTACCGTAGAATGGGGTGAATAAAAACACTTTTTGACTTTTAAGCTTCTGTAAAACCGAAATTTTTAATTTTTAAATTTTCAACACTAGCTCATATTTTCGGTCTTGAACTCCTCTACTCAAACCAGTTATCAAATTTTTTTTCTTTTTACTCATTAAGCAGAAAAAAAATAAAATATGGCTGTTTCTATTCACCCCGCACTTTGGGGTGAATAGAAACACTGTGTTAAATTGATGATTGTTGCTTTTCCTCACTTACCAGGGGCAATAGAAACATGACATTTATGCTTGTTAGCTTAGGTTGTTGTAAATAAAAATATTTAAAGTTAATTAACACATTTATTTATAAGTACGAAGTATGAAAACGTCGTTTTCATAAACCCTTATCCAAACAAATCGGAGAACATAAATGACAATGGGTGAAATCAGAATAACAAAATCTTACATAGAAACCAACTAAATGAAGAGTAAAATCAGACAAATCTTCCTCAAAATACAACACTCCCTTAAATCTACAAGTTGTACACGGCTTGGGAGTTGGAAGCCGATCGTACTACGTCATCGACTTTGAAGAGGGCCTCTTAATCTCTCAGAACTTGTTGGTTTGCGCAATTTTCTTGATGAATCTTCCTATTTCACCTTCCTCGTCAAATTCAATAACTTTTGCAACATATAAACGATAGCAAGTTTTGTTTTTCCCCATTACTTTGACAATTACATGATCATGAAGGGACAACTTTGAAGACTCACTGATGTCTTGAGCTAGGTATGCTGGTTCTTCTTCATCAAATTAAAAAAAAGTGTCTTTGTCACTTTCTTCCAGTGTGACTGATGTAGAATCATCTTCATCTCTGGTATTTTTTTTTCTTTTTTGGGGGGTTTTCTGGGCACCACTGGTTAAAAAAAAGTGTTTCTATTCACCCTGGTTTTGCAAAATCATGACATAACCTAAATTAAAAATAAAGTAAAAAAAAATAGTTTATTCTAAGGCTAATCTATTAACACACTTGGTTTTAAGATACCTAAGACAATATAAAAAATGGTTATTAACATAAATACATGTAATAGGTTCATACTTAGAGAGAAAGTTTTGAAAAGAATGTTTTTCGCAAAAATTTTCAAATTTTGTTTCGCATCATCCAACATCCGAAGCAGTGATACCAATATGCTAAACTAATTTTTCCCAGGTAGATAGGATATGGTTATAATGGGGGAAAATAATTCCCTTATATAAAGTCAATGTATAACAAAGTTATAAAAATGTGAATCATTCATTGAAGTTTTGTTTCTATTCACCCTGTTGTTTCTATTCACCCCATTTTACGGTATTGTTGGTGGAACTATGCCTGATTATCTATTCAGAATTATTATTATTTATTTACACTTCTAACTTTTTCTAGGTAGTTTTTATTGAAAGATGTACAGAGTGT